GGAAGAATGGTCAAAAATTCCCATAAACACACTTCTAAACCTTGTGGACAGCCTTCCCAGAAGAGTTGAAGCTGTTATAGCTGCATAGGGTGGACCGATGTCATATTGAACCCTATAGATTAGGAATGGGATGTCACTTACAGTAAGTTCATATGCAAGTAAAGGCAGGTGCGCGAATACTTTTGGCAATATAGTGTATCTACAGAAAAGGAATTGGCTTTTCTACACCTACAGCTGCTCTTCTACCCTGCTGCCAGTCTTCTAGAGTGGTTTTGGAATAATGCATGCTGTTTACACTAAATTCAGTCAGCATCTGCTGGCTTTTCTATTATCTACTGAGTTCATCAAGGAATGTATGTTGACTAAACAACAGATCTCCTACTATGTTTCCACAATATTGTTGAATTATAATATCTGTCACAGCCTGTTAACTTTTTTTCCAAAGATATACGTATATGAATGTGAAACATATACTTTATTTTTTGTTTGTTTGAGTATTATGTTTCTTTAAAAATTTAACATATTACTCTTTAATTAGAATAAAATGTACCAGTATTTGATATATGGAGTTTATTGCAGTAAAAGTGATATATTTCTCTGAATAAACCAAATATCTAGGCTTGTGGAGTTGAAAGGGACTGGTCTCTATTTCTATCACCTGCTTTGTAGAAAACTGTCCAAAATTTTGGTTGAACGTAGATATTGTTTGAACTTGCCCTATATTTCTATAACAGAACTAAGGGAAATGGATTAATGCTGGGTCTGACTGAATACATTTTTAGTAAATGAGGCCAACATTAGTTCTCATTGTACTTTCAGAGTACTTTCTTCAACCATCTGATGTACTTACAACAGTCCACACCCACTTACTTTCCCTGCTAAGTGAAATCGCTGAAAGGATGAAGGGTGTGATTCATTGACATTATTTTTCTGGTTTTCCTAGCCAGTGCTTTTAGTTCTGCTTGAGTCCAGCTATTCCAGCTGTACATCTAATGGCTGGAATTGTCCAGGTGTTAATTGCTTTGATTATTTTTCCTCCATTGAGCTTGTATGTTAAGTTCTTCACTCTCTTGATGGATTCACTTCTTCTTGACTTTAGTGTGGTTGATGCTATCATCTTGGAGGATGCCCAGCAGAGGTGGGTTCCTACCAGTTCGCACCTATTCAGTAGATCCGGTTCNTGTTTACTTTTTATCACTCATTTATTAATAAGTTCTTTTTTCTCCTGTGAGTTTTAAGATTTTTTGTTTATATCTGCTTGATTGATACCCCAACTTCCTAAACTAACAATACCCAAGGCAAGTACCAAAATTTAAAAATCCAAAAAAGAATGTAAACATTTCTTTAAAAAACACAGATTTATATTAACAATAAAATAGATGTTAAAATCAATCAACAATTCAAACCTTGGCCAAAGAGAGGAAACCTGACAGAGTAGAAGTCAAGAGAAACTCCCAAGCTAGTACATTTCATAGCCTGGGAGAAATGCTGCAAAAGGTCTGCCCCCACCTGCCAGAAAGATGAATCTGTGTCAGCAGAGAAGATCTTTAAAAGGGACTTTCCTGCTGGTTTTAGCATATGAATCTACTTGTAGAAGAATTGTTTCAGTAGTCAGACCCTAAGTCAATTCAACACGTTCATTGGCCCAGTGAACATCTAGGAACCAAATCCAGATCATGAATGAAGGCAAATATGTCCGTCCCAGGATAATGTTGCAAAATCCAACCTGGGTCAGTTACTGGGACCAGAGGTTTTGTCTTCCCAGCTTTCGGATTTGTGCTGGAGTCCATCCTCAGGGAACTTCTCTGTAGCTGGAAGCACACACTCTGCTAGAGAGAAGTTCACTCAGGATGGGTGCAGCACGAGTCTAAAAGCTTGGAGGAATACATCTTTGGTACCAGTGACCAACCCAGATTGGGTCTTGCAAATCCAGATCTTTCAGCATAGGTATCATATGCCCCCTTCCATCTTTACTAGTTAGCTGCCTAGCTAATTTGTATCAACTAAAATGTTATGGACACCTTTCAAGCTGATGTAGAAAGTGTTGCACTAATCAGAGCAGAAAGTAACCACAAATGGATAAGTATAGCCTCATCTGAACAGTACCAAAAAAAAGTAGCATCTGGCATGTGCCAAGGCGCTCCTTACCAGTCATTACTGTTATCAGTTCTCAAACACAATGAAAACTATTGTATTACATGAACATGCTTTGTTTGCTCGTTATCAGCTTTTCTAGTGATATTAAGTAACACATTGGATGTATTTCAAGAAGTAGAAGACAAAGGAGAGCAATCCTATTTTAAACTGTAATGTTGAAGCCTCTGACAAATCCAAGGTCTTAGCAGTATTGTTGCATGGCAGAATAAAAACAGAAAAAAGTACTTCCACCTTTCTACCAGGAACACTTTTGATTGATTTAAATATTCTATCCAAAACTGGCCTAGAATAGCTAAAACTTTATCAATAACTCTGAGGATATTCCCTAGCTTGACCTTGACACACTTATTGTTTACTTTTTCTGGTAAACAGAAACTTGGAGTTCTCTTATAGAAGAAGACAGGCTGGTGAAGTTTCTGTACTGTACTTTGATGATATTTCTAGGACCAAATAATACACTCTCAAAGGATGACTTCTTTCAACTCTTATAACCCTTCTGGGGCACTGGACCACAGGATTGCAATTTAAGGAAATAAAACTACATTGATTTTTACAAGCATTGATTTGATCTGAGAGATTCCTTGAAATTCTAGGTATAATTTTGCACACATCTGTTCCAGGATTGATAGTTTCTTTGGAGCGATGTTGGCAAAACAGACATGGAGAAAATAAAATATAGGACATCTGTGACAATCCTGGATTTATCTGAACAGAAGTAGCATAATTCCTTTTAATTTGATTTTGGGAATAAATAAATATATTTTAAAATCTTCTTGTCACCAACCCAAAATGATAATAATCATTATGCTAAAAAAGATTATTTTTATGCATAAAAATCTTTATGCACTGTTAGATCTTTTTGTTATATAGTATCTTAAATGTGTGTAATACTAGGATTATTGAAGCTGTGTCTCTTTTACCCAGGGATTTACAAATTAATACTTCTTTTTGTAATGAAACTGTGTAACCAACACAAAGCATGGATATAAATGGGCTGTTTATTTTTTCACAATCCTTACCAGTGTTTTTTTAAGGCTTATATCTACACACACACACACACACCATTGATATTTTCCCTTCATTTCCCTGCATTATTCTATCAGTTCTTTCCTCTTTAGTGACTATTATCTTATTTTGTTTCAGTCTTTTCCTCCAAATTCTCTTAGCTTTCAGTATCCACCTTTCTCACAAGGAGATGACCCCTTAACTTTTTACTTGCCTTAAAAGCACAGGTAAGGGGCCATTTCATAGCTGTTTTTCTTGGGCAAAAGTTAGTTGAGGATAGTCAAACAGAAGAGAAATTTTCTCAGAGACAGCAATAATGAAAAAGTATATATTGCTTCATTCCTAGCACATGCAATAAGTAAATGTTCTTCATTTTTACAAAAAAAAACAAACCTTTGACTACTTATACTATAAAAACTAGATTACTAATCTTAAAATACTTTCAACAAACCAGATATTCATAGATTTGAATTTTAGTTACTGAATTATAATTGTTAAAAATAATTTAACAGCCAAGTAATCTCATATCTCAAGATGTGTTTAATTTTCATCCACTTTTCAGTCACTAAAATGTCTGATATTCTCTATCCTAAATAAGTTGCCCATTTACTAACTATTTCATAGAATAAAATGGTCACCTTCAGTTTACACTGTAGCTGCTTCATTTCCAAATCTACAGTCTTAACAGGAGTAGGTGGTGCCATTCCAGTATGGCCAGATGTTAGATGACACAGGCCTTCTTTCCCTTTGGTTGTCTGGATCAGGTGGTCCAATTTTCCTTGCAAATCTGAGTTTTCTCGTTGCAATTCAGTCAGGCTGGATGTCAGGGTCTGCTTTCCAGGTACAAAAATAATAGGAATAGTTGTATTCAGTATGCAATTATTAACAATATTCTATATTATTATAGTTTAGCTTTACAAAATACAATATTCATCATGTTGTCCAAATTGCAATAAAATGGACTGCATATATTGGTTTCAAAGTATAAATAAACTTAAAGCTAAAAAGAGATCGGAGACTAGTTGATGGTAGTTATTGTGCAACATGTAAAAGAAAAGGGGTGCAATAAACAATGGCAATAATATTGCATTATCCTGCCCCTATTAGTACTATTAGTGCTATATGTAGAAAAATGCAGAGATATGTGGTGTAACTACTTTGTGGTTACATTGGATTGGCTATAATGGCTCTCAGAATAAATATGCCTATTCTACTAAAAAAATCTAGAGAATATCATGTTTTGTCTTGTATCAATTTTATGGAACTTGTAAAGGTTAAAGAAAAGCATACACAGTACACAATGCCTGTTTGGTTGGTCTTTATGCTATTGTTTCTTCTCTTCCTCATGTACATACCACACAGTCAGGGAACCACAAATTCCATAACCTTGACCCTGAAATGCACTTTACATGTAAAAGCCAAGCTGGAACAGGACAAGATAACAGATGTTAGTTGTTTATTCCATTGGGTAGGACTTACCACCTTATACTGCAGCCAAAATGCTTCTCATTTAGCAACATAAATGTTAATTCCAATTAGCAGATGAGGCTTGTTAGAGATTTAGTTTGAATGAATAACACGCACACAAACTCAGGCTTATTGCATTTGATTGACAATGGACCAGAATAGTTTATTTCACAGAAACAGTGAATCAGAATATATTGGAAAATGAAATATGTAATATTTGTTTTAATTTTGGAATAGTGACAACAATCTTTCACTTGTTAATACTCAGCAGAAAGCCACAAATATTTTAATGATACACTGGTCAGAGGGGTCCAAGGACCTGACAATAATATTTTAAACATGCTTATAATGTGTAATTTGACATAAGCAATTAGAGAAAATGGTAGCGTATTCAGAGGAGTTTTAAAAAATCCTTTTGAAAAATCCCAATTTGTGCAAAAGCACAAATTCAGAGAACTATAGGCTCAGTATAATAGTGAAATGAGATAAATATCTTCTGAAAAGTAATATTTTCCCAGGGTTTTGCTCCCTTTTTAGATTTGTTGTTTGATTCTTAGTAGCTTTTATCAATTGTGGGTGTTCTTGACTTATGACCAAACACTTTGTAACAAAAGCTAGTTATGACCAAGTTTAGACGTTTCATGATCAGGGTCCCTCCGCAGTCATGTGACCACATTTGGCAACTGGCCTATGTTTATGGCAATTTGCAGTGTTCCATCGCCATGTGATAATAATTTATGATGATTTTATCAGAAACTGATTTCTACTTCTGGTCCAACAAAAAACGATCCATAGCGAACACTGGGGTTGCTTAACAACCAACAGAAAAAGGTCATAAAAACAATTGTGGTTATAAGCACTGTCATGACTTACAGCTACAATTGCCAGGCTCAATTATGATCATAACTCAACTACCTGCACTTTGTCGTTCTTGTGTATTTAAAAAATTGTATTTGATTTTATTGGATTAGTTTATCACAAGTCAGGTGGTACCCATGCATTCAACCTCTTAGCAAAGACATTCTGAATTCAAGCAGAATAACCTCTACTAAAGCAGGTGTTTTTATTAAAAGCTGAATAACTAATATAGTATAGTATAGTATAGTATAGTATAGTATAGTATAGTATAGTATAGTATAGTATAGTATAGTATAGTATAGTATAGTATAGTATAGTA